TATATACAATAAGTATAGCTTCTTCCTTATTCTTTCCCATCTCTCCGAACTTTTTCCATTTTTATGAAATTCCTTTCTTTTGCACGCTTTTTTTGATGATAAATAAACAGAGAATTACGCATTTATTTTATCTTTTTTTAATTACCTACCCTCTGTCGCTGTCTCAACTTTTTTCGCGATGACAAAGGAATTTAACAATTTCCGTTAAGAATATTTAAGAGTTATGAGCGAAATGTAATTTTCGATATTGACAATTAGAAAATTAATAAAGTCGGTACTTCAAGCACACTTTTAGAAAACATTCTTTTAAGAAAGACTAATGCCTTTATCGGACAACCAAAGAGGATGGAACTTCTCCATCCGTGTGGCTCATACTATGACTATCTCAAAATCAAGCTTTGCTCATTTTAATGTTTCATACCTATGAATTTACATCAGAAAAAACAAACGACAATTTTTTTTATTTTCTTTAAGGTATTCCAACAGTTGGAATCTTCTAATTCTTTCTTTATGTAAGGTTTCCAAGCGCTCAATTATGAATCTCAACTAACACATGAATCTTCATTTGTTGTCGTATTAAATATTCCAATATGTCTTCTAGATGTAAACTTATCACTGCCCTTAATGTAAATACTTTTTATAAATCTGTTCTAAAAAATAGATTTGAAGATTATGGATGGGATTGCGTGAAATATTCGAGGGGCCTGGAAACATCGCTTAGGTTTTTTTTTAGTGAACTTTTGGAGCGAGCCACTATCTGAACCAATTGTGGGAATAACATGTCAGCAACTAAGAATAATTGGAATATAATTATGCTTTCTTTATACGGACATTACAAACGAAAATTTGCCCTTGCAAACCTAATGACTTTTTTAAAATAGCCTTAGGTTTGCTATAAGAGTCAAAGGTTTGGAGCTTTTTCGCTCTTAACTGGTCTTTCTATCTTCCCGAAGGAAATACCGGAAGAAATGCGGTTTTATTTAACACAGACAGAAATTGGGTAACATGGATATGGAGGGAAAAACTTACAGCCAAACTCTTTCAGGTTAGTGGCAGCATGAACGAAAAAAAACGACTGGGCATAACTGAACGGCTATGTCCTCCGGGAAATCTAAACCTTTTTTCTTCAAGGTTCTCCTTCAACGGGTTTCCAATGGGACGTTAATTAGCTCAGTTTTTTTTCTTTTGCTCCAAAGCCATGCTACAGACTTGTGTAGGCTCTTGCCCTTATCTTCCTATGTCTCCTTCCAAAATCTATGTGGCAATTCTTTCCAAAAAATCTAACAAGCTGTTTCTTGATTGGACCTATACTTATCCCAGCTCTGGTGCCTGCAATCTGAATTTCTCTTTATGAGCCACATATGTCTCGAAAACTAGCCATTCTCCTTTCTGCTGGGTAAAATATCTCAGTGATAGGGAATTGCAAAGCCTACTGGTAGGTTTTCTTCTTTTCAGTCCGGGAAACGGCCTTGGACAATTAGCATCCAAGGAAATCAAGTGTTTTCTTCTTTTGAGACACCTTCCGAGCCCCGGTTCGAGATCTGTGGCGTTTTGTTCTCTTTAGAGAAAGAGATGTTTATTCCTGGAGGTATAGTAGCCGTACTATTCTTCATGGTGGGTAAGGAATAAGGTATACTCTTTAGGATTCTGCCAACTATTCAAGACGATCACACAATGTTCAATAGAACTAATTTTTTTTCCAAGCGAAGAAAATGTATTCGTTGACTCCAGAATTATAACGGTTGGCAATGCATAATGTGCTTATATTGTAGTCATCATGGCATTAGTGTTTTCTTTTTATGAGACAACCTTGCGTCGAGATCTGTGGCTTTCTCGGAAAGAGATGTTTTCCGAGCTTGAGCAGCTTCTTCAATGGTGGTAGAAATAGGTATACTCTCTCTAGATTCTGCCAACCAAGACACAAAATGTTCAAGAACTATTTTCTCAAGCAAATTATCTGTATGCAGAATAATTGCATGCATAATGTGCTCAATATTGCCAAAGGCATCGGCTCGTTGTATAACTTTTCTCTCATATTCAAAAAGCATTCCAATGCTTTTCTCTGCTGTTCAAGAAAACCAGGTCCAGCTGCTTCTCGAGAAACTGCGATTGCTCCAATCAAAAAAGGCCTCGAAGTTCTATTCTGGCTTGAAAGCTCTGGTAGGAGGTTCTGAGACTTTATCTGCAAATTCGAATAGGGTGTAACATGCTGTGAGGACGCAGCCATATCAGAAGACAAAGCGTCGACTTCTTGATCACAAGTGGAAGAAGCAGCTGGAAGTACTTCATCTTGATTCTGAGATTCGGTTGTTAGAGACGATTCAGTAAGCAAAACAATAAATATTTGAAGGAGTTAGCAGTTAAGAATTATATACTTAAAACTTTTATTTTCTTAACCAGTAATAAACCCAAATTAACTCAATCAATTGATGCATAAATTTTCTAAATTGGATAACTTGATTCTCTGATGCAGGAACTTCATTTTTTGGAGCCTGGATAACTTGTTCAGGTATTTCTGACTCAACTGTACTGTCTTCTTTTTCGAGGTCAGGAACTGAATAATGCTCAACGTTGTGAACAACAACTTCAGCTTCTACTATAAGAGTATAATTCACAAGATACTTTTCATTAGGATCTTTTATTTTGCTAAGAGAAATAAAAGATGCGATTGTTTTGAATACATGGCCATTGGTTTTTTCTGCAAAATATACGTAAGTATTGGGCTTAGCCTCACCATAATTCAAGATATGAGCATATATAATTATCAAAATAGGTTATTAATACGTCATTCCTATGTCAACTATCGTATGCGTTAGATATAGTTATAGGGTGTAACCCACGCACTTCCACTAAGGCGGAGCTTGACAGGAGTAAGAGACTTGGTGACCCTCCCCTTGACTCGTAATTTGGTGATAATAAACATTCTTCTGCCATAGATATATATATATATATTGCTCTCTTATTCTTTCCCATCTCTCACTTTTCCATTTTAATGATTCCTTTCTTTTGCTTTTTGATGATAAAAAGGAATTACCATTTATTTTATCTTTTTTATTCCCTTTCCCTTTCACTTTTTGATGATAAAAAGGAATTACCATTCCGTTAAGAAATACCATTCCGTTAAGAAAATATATTAAGAGTGGTGGAATAAGAAAAAATATTTTATGAGCGAAATGTAAAATTTTCGATATTTTATTAAGTCGATTTTAGAAAAATTTTAAAACTAAATTCAACCGTCATATATTAATAATCAATTCATTTCATTCACATGAATTATACAAGAAAATTTTTATTTTTTAAAGGTAATTCCACAAGTGAATCTTCTAATTCTTTCTTATGTTAAGACCAAAATTAACAACATGAAATTCATTTCATTTAATATTTCATTTAATATTTATTTCTATTTTCTTTAAGGGAAAACTTAGAAATTGCATTAAGAAAAACCCGACTACTAATTAGTCTGAACAAGAAAAATAATAGAGGGTGAAACATCTTCAAACCAAAATAGTTCCTCAAAAGTAGAAGAGAGTATTTCTTTAGTTAAATTATAAGCGACTCCATTGCCGATTCGATAAACATGAGACAAAGAACAAGTAAAAATGCACTGAATGAATTCTTTAAGAATTAGTAATATGCTTCTCACTCCTCACATTAGTATCGAAATTACCATTTCGGACGGTAGCATTGTTATCGAATTGATTAATTACTGAAAAACTAAAATCTAATTACTGAAAAACTAAAATCCACATCTCTACTCCATCCATTAGGCAAGCTTGATAAATCAGCAACTTCCAGATATATTGGCAAACAATCTACTTGGTTTCCCTTCGGGAAAATAAGCAAACGCCTAACAAATGTACCACAAACAAGAAAAAAACAAAACTCAGAAAAAAAAGAGAGTATTTAGTAAATTTAAAAAACTTCTTAAGTAATGCTAATCGACTACCTACAACAAGTCGATAGATTTAAAAATTTAAAATTGGGGAGATACTTTATTCAATTATAATAATACTAATTTTGCTCGATTCAGTAATTTTGATTATTTTGAACATTTAAAAAGAAAAATGACAAAAAATAAAAGTAATTGGACATTAAATTAGTCGATCAAATCATTTGATTCAAAATACAATGTTGGGCCATAGCCACAAACTATTTAGTAAATTTAAAAACTTCTTAAGTATGCTAATCGACTAACTACAACAAGTCGAAGATTTAAAAATTTAAAATTTGGAGATATTTAATTCAATTATATAATTACTAATTTGCTCGATTCAGTAATTTTGATATTTTGAAACATTTAAAAAAAATACAAAAATAGTATTGGATCATTATAATTAGTCGAAAATATTGATTCAAAATACAATGTTGGGAATAGAAATATCACTAGATTATATTACCATTTATAGTTACCCGCAGCTCATAATGTTATTTTGGTCTATTGGGCTTCTCAAATCAAAAAAAATATTATGAAAACTAATTTAGGCTCAAATTATTTCAGAAAATATTCTTAATTTTTTTTTATTAAATTTCAAATGCTTGGCGCATTTAAGAAAATTAATAAAGATAGCTTGGTCAAAAGAAAAACTAAGTTTTGAAAAAGAAAATAATTTCTATTTTTGGTGAGAGAAATATTTCTTGATCATTGACAAAGTTTTTCTAGTAAAAACCAAGAAAAAAAGAACATTATATTTTATTAATCTGCCAATAATTGATACTTACAATTATCAACAATCACTAATTAATATCGGCCTTCCTCTATTATTGGCTGGCTTCCCTTATTATTTATTACAATATCATAATTTATTATTTTTATATACTTAATAATATATTTTTAAAATTTAAAAATTATAATTATATAATTTATAAAAATATATTTTGAAGAGAAATTATTTTTAAAAATAAACGGATTTAATCTGTGATTTGTTAACAAATGCACTCTCTGACTGTCCATTCCGATTCGCAGCCAGGTTTGTTTGAAAAGCCCAAATCTCTGACCCACTTTATAAAGAAAAATTAAAATCAAAACGGTTAACTTGTCCGGAATTTCAAGGGTTCAGAACTAGGCACAAACCCTGCTCTCTCTTCTTCACCGCCAATACAGCTTACAATTCAAATTAGGGATTACTTGTGAGCAAAATGGGAAAGGCAGAGAAGCAAAAAGGGAAAATTGAAGAAGAAAACGAAGAGGAGATGCATGTGATAGCAGTGAGCAGTGACGATGACTACGAGGCCAACGAGGATCTGAGTTTGAAGATCGTTGAGAAGGCGCTGCTAAAGCGAGAAGCAAAGTTGGCTCAAAACGATAACCACTGTGTTGTCGTTTTAGACGATGATGACGATGATGTGCCTAAGAATGGTAGTGGTGATGTCGTTGTCTCTGGCGGCGGCAGTAGTGATGGGAAGGTGGTTGAGTTTTCCTCGTCGTCGCCGTCGCAGGAGGCTGAAGTGGCTGTTAAAGATCCTTTGTCTGTTAAGAAGAGGAAGAGAAAGAAGAAAAATCAAAATATTGAAACTGGAGAACAATCTGTGAGTTCCTGTTTATTATTTAACTTGCTTATTCACTTATTCTGCTTGATTAAATTGGTTTTATGGTGCTTAACTCATCGAATTTGATTATTTTAAGTTCATTGAGCTTTATTTTAATCTTTCCTTTTGCTTGGTTGAGTATAAGATCGTGCACTTTGATTTTTGGGCTTTTCAAGTTCATATGTAGTAGTGTACCTAATCCCACATTGCATTAGGTCCTTCTTGTAAAGGAAGATGAAGAGGCAAACATGGTTGAAAAAGCTGAGACTTTGGAGAATTCGGAGTCAGATCAGCCCACATCGCAATTAGATAAAAATGCGGATCCAAATGTTGTTGGGATATCAGACAATATTGTGCTGCGAAAGCTTCTTGTGAGTTAACTAAATTAAACTATCTGTTCTTATATGCAATTTGAAACAAAAAGAAATTAAATTAAAAAGAGAAAAGAATGTGATTCATTGTGAAGGCTTAGATTGGCATCTCTATTTTTATTCTCTCAGCGAGGTCCAAGATACTTTGATCCTCCGGATAGTGGGTGGTCAACGTGCTACAATTGTGGCAAGGAAGGTCATATGGCAGTAAATTGTCCATCACTCGAGAAAAAGAAAAGAGCCTGCTTTCTTTGTGGCAGTTTGGAGCATGGTGTTAGGCAATGTTCCAAGGTTTGTACTTTGTAATTACAATATTGATGGAGATATTTTATCAACCTATGATCTTTGTTTGTTGAAGTTGAGTATGTTTGAAATTCTGTTCTGCTTTCCGTCCTATTTTTCTTGTTGAGTGTGTTTAACTTAGTGACTTTGTAACTTAGTTAATGGCATTTCATCTGTGTATTTTGTTGCACTTGGATCTCTTTGCAGGAACGAGTTTGCATTATCTGTAAATCAAGTGGGCATCGTCCAAAAAATTGCCCAGAGAAACATAAGGGTTGTCCTGAGAATTCAAAAGTATGTTTGAAATGTGGAGATTCTGGGCATGATATGTTTTCATGCAAGAACAATTATTCTCTTGATGATCTCAAGGTCGTGTTTTATTTCCTTCATCAGTGTTCTTTCTTTTATACTTTTTGGTGAAAGCTTTATTATTTGCATCTGGATCACTATCTCTATTTGTTTATTGACTAATGTCACCTTTTTACTTCAGGACATTCAGTGTTACATCTGCAAGAGTTTTGGCCATCTTTGTTGTGTAAACTTTGTAGATAATAGTCCAAGAGAAGTTTCTTGCTATAAATGTGGTGAACTGGGTCATACTGGTGTGGTGAGTCCTAATAAATGTTTCCAATACCATTTCTCTTCATGGTTAGGGACACAAGTGTATATTTACATATACATGCTAATATAGCCATTGATTTGTTATTTCTGAGAATCCTTTCCTGCCTTGCTTATATTATTTTCTTAGAATAGAATGTCTTGGTGATTGTCTGTCCCTGCTATTATTATTTCCATTGTTTTCAATCTTGAATTGCTCAAGCAAACGCTGCATTGGCCATGTATAAATAGTGACAGTGTTGTTTTCATCTTCTGATTGTTATGTATGATACAAAAGCTATGATATAAGCCTGAGTATGAAATTGGATCAAATGGTCTTCAACGAGAACAGGCATCTAGCTTTCTGGCTTGGTTCTCTCATTTACCCATTTTGGTTAATTGAAAGGAATAAATGCATCAAGAGCTTGTTTAGAGACTAGATCTTAGCCCCCTAGAATGGTCTTCAACGAGAACAGGCATCTAGCTTTCTGGCTTGGTTCTTTCATTTACCCATTTTGGTTAATTGAAAGGAATAAACGCAGCAAGAGCTTGTTTAGAGACTAGATCTTGGCCCCCTAGAATGTTTTGAACTCCAGTAAGCCCCTTTTTCATCCACACTAACCAACACTAAACCTAAGGCTAGGGGTGGGCAAAGAAAAATGAGAAACCAATATAAAAAAATTATCTATTGTAACCTTTGGTTTTCTTATAGTTATTTATGATTTATAACATGTAAAGAAACTTTCCATAGTTTGGTAACTGAATTGTGTGAACCCTGATATGAAGCAAACTACTCAAAGATGAGGGCTTGAAATGGTTGCTAACAAAGACACAAACTAAGTATTAACTATGATTTGCACTAACTGACAAATGCAACTTAATAAATAATGGCCATGGATTATGTGCCATTCAAGTTCCACTTCTGGCACTTCCAGTGCTACTTTAAGCATTTGGCTACTGAGTCATGAACATAGGCATGCAGACCAAACACCCACTTGTAATGAGCTTTTTCAGCAACATTCTCTTTGAACATGCTTTGAGGTCTTTTTTCCGTGGCTGGTGTTCTTATTATTGTTCATGTTTCTGCTTGGAGCAAAAAGCCAATGCCTTTTTTAATTTTTGGTTGGAGGTCATGCCCTTTAGATAAAAGATATGATCTTATTAATTGCCAATATATGATTTTTCTTTCTATGTTATGGATCCATTGTGATTATTTATCAATTCCTTTACTCCAAAAGCTTTGCAAGTGCAAATTTATCTACTTCTCATTATGTGGGTCTCTATTTTTCTTTTGACATTTGCATGTACAACATCAGTTCTGGTTACCCTTATGGATCCATCTTGGGGTTTATGTACTTGGTAAATGTTTGATGATTAGGACCAGCTTCTTAATGTGTGGGTATTTATCTGTGCAGGAATGTTTAGGGTTGCATGATGAAGCCACCATGGCAGCCTCACCTAGTTCATGCTTTAGATGTGGTGAAGAAGGACATTTTGCACGTGAATGCACAAATTCTGCAAAAGTAGGTTTTCAGGCCTTTGGTGGAAAAAACATTTTCCATGTTCTTAGGATTACAGTATGCTGACTAAGTTATCACTTGGTTATCAAAATGCAGTGTTTTCTTTGTGGGACATTTTATTGTTCTTTATAAAGTACAGGCGAAGTTATAAGTTGTTGATTATGTGCAGGCTGGGGATAAGAATCATGGATCTTCAACCCCTGTTCTGAAACCTCAGAGAAAAAAGAAAGAAGCTGCAGGATTTAAATCTGCTCCTCCAGATCTTGGCAAGTCTCGTAAAAAGAGAAAAACCAAGTCTGAACAAAAAAGGATTAATACGCCAAAAAAATCGAAACAAAGAGGTGGCTGGATCACTGAAGATCCTGAAGATTTACAAACACCAAAAAAATCAAAACAAAGAGGTGGCTGGATTACAGATGATCCTGAATTATCCCATACGCCAAAGAAATCAAAACAAAGAGGTGACTGGATTGCAGAGAACCCTGAATTATCCTGGACACCAAAAAAACCGAAACAGAGAGGTGGCTGGGTTTCAGAGTATCCTGAAGACACATCCCAATCAAAATCCAAAAAGAACCATTGGAGATCTCCTTCAAAACCAACTTATAAGAGTCAGATGTCAGGCTCTGAATCTTCCAAGAGAAAGCACAAGAGTCATCTAGGTATGTCAAGTTCTCAACCTTCTAAGGATGTGCCAAATAGTTACTCTGGATCTTCAGCATGGCAAGGTTCAGGGACGACTTACCAGTCTCATTTGGGACCTTCAACATGGCAAGGTTCAGGTACGGCTTTCCAGAGTTATCGGGGACCTTCAACATGGCAAGGTTCAGGTGCGGCTTTCCAGAGTTATCGGGGACCTTCAACATGGCAAGGTTCAGGAACGGCTTTCCAGAGTTATCGGGGACCTTCAACATGGCAAGGTTCAGGTGCGGCTTTCCAGAGTCATCGGGGACCTTCAACATGGCAAGGTTCAGGTACGTCTTTCCATCATAGATTTACAGCATCAAGATTTAGCAATTCTGGCAATGCTGGGTTTGGAGGAAATTATAACTGGTGGTAGTAACAAGCTTGTATGTAAACAACAGCCAAGTGTGGCTTTTGAAACCAATTCTCTCTGCTGATTCATCCTACCATGTAACCTTGTATCAGCCTGTGTTTTGTTTTTAGTTACTTATTAATTCATCCAATTGTTTTATACTCGCACATGAATGCCCCAAAGAGATTTATTCCATCTTTACTTTGTGTGTTTATTCCTTGCTCAACCGTCTTATCGTCACCTATTATTTTATGACTAATCTTTGATGGGTTAATTTAAGACTTGATTTTTTACTTTCTTTGTGCTTGAATCTCGGTCACTTGTGCTATCTGTTTCCTTGAACTTGCATACATTATTTTCTAATCGCGAGTCTTCTATGTTTACCCTTGTGGTGCCCAAGGGGAATGATAATAGTCTTCTGTTACAATTTCTTGCTATTATAATTTCATTCTTGCAATGATGGGAATCCAATCCAATAACATAGCACTAGTAATTAAACAGCACGAAAATACACACTACAAAACTAAATACAAACGTTATAACTAGAGGAAATAATGCTGTCTTCTACTGCAACACCAATCCATAGCAATTTATTTTCTGGACAGCAGCTTCACAACCTGAGTCTTTTATTGTCTTTCAAAGATTGTTGTCTTCTGGCATTTGCCTCAGTTTGCAGAGAACGTAATCACTCTACACAAATTTATCAAGAATAAAAAGATAATAGAGATATTATTTTTACTTAACTACTGGATTAGAGAATATTGAAGGATACCTGGACTGGGAAGTCGAAAGTGGGATTATACTCGTGCATAATCCAGTTGGTCCTAACACGACCATTAGCACCGTTCTGATAGAAAACTAGAATCTGTTTTGTAGCAATATCCTTGATTTTAAGAGTCTTGCCAATGGTTTTCCAGAATCCAACATTAGTTGTCCTGTTGAGCCGCTGACCATTATGATTGCGACGGCAGAAGAAATACCAAACTCCATCGTTTGAGTTATTTGGCATCATGGCTGCATGCATTAAGTACAAAACAATAATAAACACCTATTATAAATAGAATCGGCCTAATATATAAATTGCACCTTTTGAACTTTTGCGGATTCTCCTTTTGTCCTTGAATTGTATTGGGTGATCGTGAGATTCTATAATTTTACATTTTAGTAATAACTGTGTTCTTCGCCAAAATGACATTATTTTGTTAGAGATTTAATCATTATCGTACACTTTTTCATTTCACATTTTATTTCTGATGCACATAATTATTACTAAAATATGAAAGTTTAAGGTCATGATTAAACTCTGTAAAAATTCGGGAGCCACAAATATAATCGTTGAAAGTATAAGATTAAATTTGTGCATTTGAACAGAATTACTCACAAGGTATATCCCATGGTTCAACAGTCAAAACATCAATCTCAGGAATTCTGCTGACTTGATCGTCATGGCCAAGCATCTTTAGCTTCAGAAAATGATTAACCAATTCTTCATCATTTGGACAGAATCTGTAGCCAACTTCCCCAGCCATGTTGATTTCAGCTACTTTGTTTTAAAACTGCAGAGCAAAATATCAATAGAAAATGAAAGAGAAGAAGCTTAAGTCTATCTTTGCTACGGTGAGAGAGAGAACACTTGACAAGTTATATATAGACGTCCAAATCTCAGATTCTACTTCGCTTACAAGTTGCTTTACTTCTATAACTTATTGTTGTCCTAACGATGGCTTCAGTCACAATCTAAAGTCTCTACTTCGTCAAGAAGTTGCACATTTTTATTGGTGGAATGGAAAGCGCATCCTCCCTTCAAAATGCCCACAGTATTTAAAATAAAATTGATGATTAATAAAATATATTAAATAGAGATATATATTAGTTAATTAAACAATTAATTATATTCTAAAAAAGAAAGTGGACTATAATTTACAATAAACAAAAAAAAATCAAATCTATTTTATATATATATATTCAGTTTTAATAATAAAATAAATTTAAGGTATTGAATAATAAAATTTTAAATGAATAATGCTCAATTTATCTCATGAATTTAAAGATAATATATGTGGCTTAAAATCAACTTTTTATATAATTACTATCTGAATTTTGTATCAAATGATTAAAAAACCTAATTTTTACTAAAAAAAAATAACAAATTTTAATATTCAACGACAAAATCGTTTAATCTAAAAACATAACGTCTAAAAAATAACCTACAAAACATTAAATATTTTTAAGTAATGAATTTTATTAGTTAACAATATTAAAAATTATTTTTTTGGTAAAATTGGACCTTTTGATTATTTGATGCAAATTTGTGGTGATAAATAAGTTTGATATTTTTGGTAAAATTATAAAAAATGTTATTTTTCTATAATTTTTTTTTTTCAATTGGCCTAAACACAATAATCTAACTTTTTTAATAATATGAGAAAACTAAAAGTTTTCATTAGTCTAATTTATTTTTTTCGGTTTTAATAATTTAATTTGATTTACTTAGAGCTATGGCTCAGCTAACAATACAGGCCGAATATATGGAAAGAGCTTTCAGGTTCAATTCCATTAAACACAGATGTAGGAAAAGGCGATGAGTCTTAACTATGACTAAGTCTCGAACAGGTCCCTAATAATAGGGTCCGCATACTAATAGTTAAAAAAATATAATAATTTGATTTGATTTGATTTGATTTTAGTAAGCTTGGATATGTATATAATATGGGTAATTTCGTAATTTTTGCGTTAAAATTAACCAAGTTTTGTTATTGGCAAGTGCAAGCTAGGATTTGAGGACAAATTATTAATAAAGAACCTTTTTGGGCTTTTAGGGCTGAGTCATCTTTCTTTGTTCCCTCAATCTACTAATGAAATTTGAGTTGAGTTGAAATAAAGTATTTTGAAAGTCCTTTTCAAATTTAGCTCAAATGTGAAGAATAAAATTTGATCAAATCTTACCCTAATAGATTAATCTTTTAAAGAGGATAATGGACATTAATGGTATTTTTCACCCACATATAAATTCATCCTCGTACCTTTAATAAAAGATTTTTTGAAACACCGCGTTTTGTAAAAACATATCATGCCTCTTAGAATTAAGGATTTCCGTAACATTATACACTTATTTGTATTAACAATAATATCTTTTTAGAACTTTTCACTTTCATGTTTAAAATATTGATTTGATGTAATTTTCATTTTTTTTCAACTATAAAATAATTATTTAATCGATCTAATTTATGAGTTGAAATATTAAATGGATCGAGTTGAAGTGATTAATAAGAGCGATTTTATAAATTGAAGTGTTTAATGGATCAAAATAAAAATCGAAAGTGCTACAAAATTTTTATTTTGAAAGATACATGGATGAATTTATCTATTTTGCTTAAATGGTAAAATGTCAATATTACCCCTCTCAAAAGCATAGAATTTCAAAAGGGTTTTGTGAATATTTTGTATAGATATTAATAAAAATGGGATCAAATTATTATCCAACTCACATGGTTTCACTATCATATCATCACATGCTTTTACCCTCAAAATATATTAGGTATAAAATTAAGTCCAGTCTCACCACCAAACCAGTCTCTTTCCAAATTCCATCGTGTTCACTTCCAAGTCCCCACTTTTTCTTCCATGATTCAAACAATTGTTCATCTGACCAATTCAAAATCAAAGCCCAAAAGAAAAGAAAGAAACAGTCTTTTAAGTTTTGAACTCACCCATTGAAACTTCTTTTCCTCTGCCCAAAAAGCAATACAAACAACCCTCCAACGCCCCATCATTCCTTGTTCTTCTCCTGGAATTCCTTCTCCTCCAATTCTCTCACTCTGATTTTCTTTTCTCTTTGCCAAATTCAAAACCCTAGAAATTCTCTCTCTCCTTCTCTTACCTTTTCTGCAGTCTTTTTACTGTCACTTTTGTTTGATCATGCCTTTGTTTTATACAAACCAAAGGCTGGGGAGAATCTGTTTTCTTTTATAAAAAACCAACATTTTAGGGTTTTGTACTGATTGATAAACTGAATCCATTTGTCTCTCTGCTTAAGAATGATCTGAACTCTTTTTTGTTTTCTTGATTGCCAAGTATTAGGTTCTTGCACAATGTCTGATGATATGTTGATACATTTCTCTTCTAACTCTTCTAATCAATCAGACCAGTCCTTGCCTACTAAGATTGCTAAACTCGAAGCTCGCATGGTGGGTAAGGCTTCTGCTATCGCCTCCACCCCTGCCCAATCGCAGCAACAACCCACTTGGTCCTCTGTCTCTTCCGCAGTGAAATTTGTGCCCTATAAGGACTCGGCCGAGCAGATGAGTTCTAGTGATTCTGATGATGATGTAAGCTCTTGTTTATTTTTATGTGTATGCATATGTATCTGAGTAGTAATGTATGCATTGTTTTTTTGTATCTTGCTCTTAATTACTGATAAGTGCTTGGATTGGGGCTACTTTGCAACTGTTAGATTCATATGCTAGAATTTCTTGGTTTGCTGTCAAACTTTTGCATGGTCTCGGAAATTACTAATGAATCATAGAAGCAGGTTCATGAAAAATGCAATTTATATTCTTCTTGTGTTATATATCATAGTACATTGGCTAGGCTTAATTCTTTGTGCTTAGGAATCGAATATTGTGATTTGTAGGATAATTCCTGGCTCCATCTCAAATCTTTAATTCGTTCTGCATGATCTCTCTTTGTATCAAATGTGAATGGGTAAGATAACACTGAATTTCAAGGTATTTATCTCACATTAAATGACAGTGGGTGATTGTTTTAGTTGGAAATGTGGTTGTCTTTATTGCTTAAACACTGAGGATATCATGTGGGAATATACCATCTAATGATAGAAGATATGCTATACGAATGCTGCTTTCATGGACGTATACCATCTAATGATAGAAGATATGCTATACGAATGTTGCTTTCATGGACTAAGTTCAGAGGAAATAAACTACTTCCTTAAATACTACATTTTGTTTGTTTTTTGAAAGTTGCTTTGCTGTGAGTTTGCTTTGGTGTGCATATGTGATAATATTTACCACGATGAGTAAGGAAAATTGGTCCAAACAATTAGAGGCGTTAATAATGCTAGATATAGAAAGCTGACTCATGTCATGAGTGTGATAATATTTACCACGATGAGTAAGGAAAATTGGTCCAAACAATTAGAGGCGTTAATAATGCTAGATATAGAAAGCTGACTCATGTCATGAGTTTGAAGACATAAAAACGAACTGGAGCCGGATGAGAGGAATGATCCGCTTGCTCCGAAACGACCTGGCCCAATAGGGAAATCACAATTCATTGGGCCTCACTGAATGGATCGATTCAAAAACAATTAGATGATGGGTTTTTTGGATTGTTTCATCAATATATTGAATGTCGACGGATGCTCCTATTACATTCATAGTCTCTGAAGGATGAGAACTAACTGTGTAGCATCTACATCAAGAGTTTAAGTATTGTATACGTCACGGCTTGCCCTCTTTGAACCCATCTTTAAAAAACTTGAAAAAAAAAAAAAAAATTCAGCTTAGGTGATGAATGGTTCATAAATGGACCTGAATTGTATTGATTGGCTGCACCTTTGTGCATATGTGCATGTATGGTAATTTTGGTTGATCGGACGGTTTCCATACTCGGAATGAATGTTGCACTTGCAATGTGAGTCCTACAACACATTTGTAAAAAAATGGTATGCATTCAATTTTTGTACATCTATCTGAGAGTGTTTGCATGTGTGGACTATTATATTTTGCATTTTAGGAAGTTGATTTATTTTATTAAATTAGTGTTCAAATTTTTTTTCTTATGTCGGAAATCATTTTTTTTATAAGATATTTGATTTACATGAATATTTCCCACTGGATATATCCATTACACATTCAATTTTTCCCACTTACATTGTCTTTTATTTGGTTTTGCCAGAATGGAGGAGAGTTTCTTATACAAGCAAACACTCAGAAACGCCAAAGAATACAAGAAGATGATAATTCATCTGTTTTTGAAAGTCTTGAGGTAGATTGATGATTGGCTATTTAATTTGGTTGGAAACTTAGAGTTACCGATTTAGGGCTTAATAGTTTAGCTGATATATTTTTCTTAAATCTTAATTATCTCTCCCCACTTTTTTGATGTTTCTGCTTATTTCCTTAGGTTTAATAGTCTTTCTCTATGTTGTTGATACATTTCCTTATATTTTCTTTACCATAAATTCTCCATTTTAACTCTATGTGGGAAACATATTTAGAAACTAATTATTTATTTATTTCGTTTTAAAAAAGATGGCACAGGCAGTAGCTGATGGAAAGCAAAAAACTGGGGAATCCATAGAGAACAAGACCAGTGTTGAAGCAAATAGGAGAAAACAAGGGCGTGGGAGGGGGCATTCTACTTCAGGTAGAGGTCGTGGTTCCAAGGGCAATGATCAAATGAGATCGCAAAATTCTGCTTCAACAGCAATACCTTCAAATGGTCAGCTTGAAAGCTCATACCTCAAGGTATGCTTTTCCTGGAATACGAGTCTGCTATTTCATTGGCATCTTTTTGTTGCAATTACTGTTGTTACCATAATTTTATATGATATTTTACTTTTTAATATTACTATTGCTATTGTTATTACCTATTCGGAAATGGAAACGTGGAAGCATGGAAATGGTCACAGAGAAACGATATTTTTAAAAATATAGGAAACAGAAATGTGGGGGAAACGCTTAAATGTGAAAAATATAGGGTTATATTTATAAATATAAAAAAATAAATTATTATAAAAACATTAAATATATTCAACGGCAAGTCAAGTCCAATCAACATTTAATCATATCCTAAAGAATTACAAGTTTCATACTCAAAAAATACATGTTTGTGAATTTGTATTTATTTATGTATTTATTTTAATTAGAGAAACGAGTTTCTGAGAGTTTCTCAGTGCACGGAAACATATTTCCGCGAGGGGGAAATGTGTTTCCAAATTACCCATTTTGCGGCAATGGCCCCGAAACGTTTCCGAGGAGTTTCCAAACATGTTCATGCAGGAAATGTTTCTGAAATGCGGAAATGGCTACCAAAGAAAGTTTCCATGCAACATACGGTATTACTATAACAATATGATCAAACAATGTAAGTATTATACTGAAAGGGGTTATTACTTTTCTAGGGGCTTACTCCATGAAGTCTATTTATTTTTGCTGTAATTCTACCAGTGGTGTTGAATGCAACCCTATTGCATTGATATTCTTATCTTCCATATGCTTTAATGTTGCTTGATTCAATGAGTCAATGTTACATATGCTGTGTGTCATAATACATCCATTTAGCCTTTGGTATATATTCATTTGATCCATTGATTGTTCCTTTAAAATGTCATTAGGAAAGATCAACATTAGAGAGTTTTGAGATTTGCAGCTGGTCAATTGTTTCTGCCATGCCTCTCATGCTACATTCTTTTTCGTGAATGGAAAGTAAGGAGAATCCCTAAAATTTGCAAAATGTCTGGATAAGTTACCTAAAAAGTGTATGAAATAATCATATGCCGTGATGCTTATGGAGAATAGAACATTTTTTCCAGTCTTCAGAGATATTCAAATAAAGAACTACCATAAATAAGCAGCATCAATTTCCGTCCCTGTGAATTGTGGCTCTGGGAAATGTGCACCAAATAATAATGGAGGCAGAGAAGACTCTGTCATTTGTCATGCAATTTAGTATTTATTTAAAATCTTGCTGCTGATGCCAAGTTGTGGTTTCCTGTGGCAGTAAGCTGGGTGCTGGCAGTGAGAAAAAGACAGTTCGTTAAGTGGCTGTTTGGCTTATGGTTGTGCTATTTTTGGTCAACTGCGTTTGCAATATGCAAACCATGGTTTGGATAAAGCCAGATTTTTGAGCTTTTCCCAAACCATAGTTTTCAAGAAGCAATTTAATTTATTTTTAAAAAGTAAAAAAAAAAAAAAAAAAAAAAAAACCCAAACCATAGTTTTCAAGAAGCAATTTAATTTATTTTTAAAAAGTAAAAAAAAAAAAAAAAAAAAAAAAAAAAAAAAAAAAAAAAAAAAATCAAAACACAGTTTTCAAAAAGCAGCTTCAAACTCAATCCCTAATAGAACCTAAGCAGAATAGTTATTGCTGTTTGGAAAAAATTCTTAAATCCATGTTTGCTATTGAATTGTTTTGCAATCAATTCTTATGTTTCATCAAATGCTAGATGAGTAAAATGTCTTCTTAGATCGTTTCCCCTACAAAACAAATCTAATAAATGTAATATGCTCTTCAACCTTTTGATAGTTTATCCAGTAAATGCTGTAGTACCTTTGGTGATTGTTTGTGATTTATAAATGGAGTTATAGAATAAAAACACATACACAAATAGACACTCAATGAATCATGGAAACTTAATTAGCATATTTCATTGGTGCTCTCTTGGAGGCTGTTTGTCAGTATTGTGGGTTAACTTGTGCACACTTGAGTAGTTCCTTTCTGTAGATAATTTTTGTTTCTGGCACCATTGTTTTTGCTATTGATCTTTATGGACAGAAAACTTATGGCCTCTAAAGATTACATGCAGAACTTTTTGTTTCCATTCCATCTTTGTACTCTGGAAGTCTGCATCCAAATGGTAAACTCCTTTGCAGGAAATTTATCTAAAAGGACAATTACGTATAATGTTTTGCAGGATAATAGGCATAAAGAGAATTTACGCAATGATGATCACACTTCATCAGAGGTATCAGTTTGATGACTTTGTTATATAAACTCTTTTACCTTTAAAACTCTTTTAACCTTTCTTTTTGTTTTTGTGTCGGTGTGTGTGTGTGTGTTTGTGTGTTTTAATAAAAGAGAAAAATCTTCGGTTGGCAAATTTTTAGATTTTTGAGATCTTCCCAGGATTCCATTGCTTTACCCACAGTACAACAACCTTGGCGTTATTGTTTTCTAATCCCATCTTTGCTTGCTTGAATAGGAGGAGGTCCACTTCCTACGTGGCAAAAGGTTTTGCAATGCTGAGAAGGAGGAACTTCGTAATCTCGTCATTAGGAGGAGGTCACTTCCCTACGTGCAAAAGTTGCAATGCTAGAGGAGGAACTTCGTAAATCTCGTCAAGAGGCTGCTGACAATCACAATCTGTGCTGTCGATTAGAAAAGGTATATTTTTTTTCCCCGTACTTTATAGCCTTTAATTATCCACATTGTATTAAAAGAATTTATTTATTTGTGCAGGAACTGAAGGAGCTAAAAGATTATGAACAACAAATGAAGCCAAAGGTTTGCTTTCTGAAGGACATGGGTTTTACAATATATTTACCTTTGGCTGATTTAGTAGTTAATTAATATTGCAGTTACCTGTCATCTTACTAGTAATGTTCCTGCCATATTGGTCCTCTTCTTCATATTAAATGCATTTACTTTGTATCTGATAAGTTTTGTGTCGTGAACCTCACAGGTTCATGACTGAAACAAATGAATGGAATCATGAGAGGGAGTAAAACTTTCGCCTAAATAACAAGCATCTAAATGATTCAATGAGATTCTGGAGCTTACAAAAGTAGGAAAGTACTAAAGATTTATTTGTTTTTTCGTGAAAAAAGACCTGGAAATGTATAGATTTAGTTAAACAGGCAAAAATATATTTCTTGATCTCAGTCATTTTATGTTGTTGGCATGCAAAAGGAAACTATTTACCCTGAAATAATCATCATGGTGGAGGGTCAGAATAATTTTCTTCTTTATGCAGTAGACATGAACGACATTCCACTACTGCCTAAGAAGTTAAGCTGCTCTGGAGGTTTGCCGTAGTTAAATTTTGGAGATGTGTCTGTAAGGCATCATTTTAGGGCAGTAGCATATTCTTGTCCAGAATTCAAGTGTTCTGATGAAAGTATATTAGAATTTAATTACTTAATTCTTCTGTCTGCTGGAATCTTTATGTTGACTTCTAGTTTTCAATGTGTGATTCATGTGCATGCTTAAGTTTCTTACAGGGTATATGTCATTTGAAGACGGTGTAAACTTTATTTATATTTTATGCCCATTTTTAGTATCCGTTCTTTCTTGTTGCAGAGAGTGAAAATGATATCTGATCTACTGATATCTGTCTCAAAGGCAAAGAGACAGGAAGCTAGGATAAAAGTTCGCCAGGATTCTTTAAGACTTGGCAATGTAGGCGTGATAAGGTATCCTGTCTTGGTGCATTTTTGATTGACGTAAGAGGAAATAAAATAAATGAAAATTTTCAAAGGAAAAAACTGAAATTGAGAAGAATTCCAGACACAGTAGAATGCAGAGAACTTAACTAAATTGGGATTATGATGTTTCTATTTATGTGTGAGTCCTTCAGCTATTTGATTTAGGTTATATCTGCCTCTCGAGCTTTCAGTAGCATATCCCATCAAGCATGGTAAAAGAAGTGATTAAGCATGCTTGATTCAAGGCTATTTACTATTTTATTGGAAGCTAACGTTAGTGTGATAAAAAAAAATTATATATGTACTCTAATGCCAACCAAAACAAACATTCCACATTCAGATTGTGTCTCATTTTCAGAGAAGAAATTGCACGCTAAAAGCTAGGTAATATGGTACAGTTAGTTGCCGCAGGGCATATCTACATTGGGTGTGTATTTTTGTAACTGTGGGTTCTGCTATTCTTACGTGTAAAAGGAAAATTCATTTCTATGAATGGGCACTTGTGAGTTTTTCCATTGTGGTGAGGAAATTGCAGGTGGCCCTCCATAGATGTAGGCATATTGCCAATCCTTGTTTACTGTCTGTCTCTCTCTCTCTGCAATTCTTATTTTAATCGATGTCAGTTGAGTGCCTTTTTTTTTTTTTTTTTTTTTTGAGTGCTTTTTTTTTTTTTTTTTTGTTGATTATTTAGGTTACTCATGTTTTCTTTGTCTGTTGTAGAGCTGGAACTGTTATATCTGAGACATGGGAGGATGGGCAAGTGCTGAAAGATCTAAATGCTCATCTCGTATGTCATAGTCAGATCTCTCTCCCCCCTTGAACCAATTAATTGTCCCTTTTTAAACTCTACTTTCTCTGCATTTATTTATTTCAATTTCTTTTCCTTTTCAAGTTGCAGTCTATGAACTCACAATTATGTTCGCACTTTTAAGTAAATTGTAGCTAGAATTGCATCACTACTGAAGAATTTGCACTGGAAACTTACTAATAAAGCATGATAAGCTTAGACATCCATAGTTTCAAAGTAATCCTAATTAGTAATCCTAATTAGTAATCCTTAAGACTGTAATTACTTTAACTCATCTTTTTTGGCATGAATTCCAACTTCAAAACTGAAATCAAGTATTAAACTTACTAAATTGTTAGGATTCTAACCAAAATGAACCAAATAAAGTAAATTTAGAACCCATAGAATTTTATGAATCCCAGCGGAACTTGCAAATTTACTGAAATGCCCCCTGCTGCTGTGGTACTTTGAACACTAACATACCATTATTATTAATCTAAAATAAAGTCACCTTTTTGTGTGCATTAATAATATTTTCGATTCATCATTTGACTTTTTAGAGACAATTGGTGGAAACAAAGGAGGCTGTTGAGAGGCAGCGGAAATCATTGAAGAAACGACAATCTGGTAAAACATTTACATTTACCGTTCGTAGTGCTTGGTGACACCTATGCTAACTCCTTTTTAGTATTATTTGAGTAGTTGGAATGTTAAGATTATACCTATCAAGTACCTTTTGATCTTTTAGTTGGTCAAGTACTAAACTGTGATTAGTATTTTAGCATCTCTCTTTTTGCTAAGGCGTCTATTAAGATTTTGTTGCCCTCAAACTATTTTACCACATTTATAATTTTTTTTTTCATCAGTCCTCATGCTGTTATGGCTTTTGCTGATCAACAGAAAATTATGTTTGCTCTAAGGTTTTCTGGTACATATTCTTGCTAACCTCCAGTGGGCATTTCCCGTTATCATACAACACTTGGGCAGTTGTCCTCTTTACGGCCTGTTATCTCTTTTCAGAGAGAATGGAGCTGAATGGTCCTTTTGAAACTCTAGAACATGAACTTAATGCTCATTCATAACATGAACTTAATGCTCATTCATGGATCTGTTGGTGTTCCTTTTATTCCTGTCAAAGGATCATCTACTTTTTACCATTGGTGGTTTACAAAATTCTTAGTACGGACAGGAAACTTTTGGCCCCGTGTTGATAAATAATAAATGTTTGTCTTTCACTTGAATTTCAAAAGCTGGCTCGCTTGTGGTTTATTTAGCTTTTGTTAGCTCTCTCGGTCTTTTTTTCTCTGCTTGCAAAACAAAAAAAGGAAAAAATCTTAATATTAATTGCATTTATTTTTATTTTTATTTTTTTTTTTGATATGCAGATAAGGGAGATGGAACAGATGCAGAATCAGGAGCGCAAGATGAAGATTTTATAATCCAGGACGAAATTTTTAAATCTCGTCTAGCAAGCATTAAGCGTGTAAGTTCACTAATTTTACTTCTCTATGCACATGTGCGTCCTCATTAATAGGCTATTGATTTTCTATAGGTATTGATTTTCTATAGGAGGAAGAAATTATTATTTGCGTGAGAGAGATCGTTAATGGAACTAGAGACGGGACGGCTGATACTGAAATGAAACGTATAAGAGATGAGGATGGTTTCCGCTTTTAATAATTTTTCAGATTTTTGAAATCACCCGATATGCCCTGCTAAACCTCCTTGGGAAAGGAGGATTTGTGAGGTTTAACAAGGTCAGTAACTTTTACAATTCATCAATCTTTTGATAATTGAAACATTGGTAGCACATTTTTAAGCAAGGCTCCTTATTGGCCATTAGCAAAGTCCCTAGAGAAATTCTTTGCCCAATATTGGCAATTGTAAAAGCATTAACTTTTGGCAGTGATTTGAAGTAAGAATTTCCAGCAGGCATATGATTTGGTAGAGCAATAGAATACGTTGCATGTAGCTTCATGTCTGAAATGCTCAGTGGAGTGAGGATAAGAAGCAAAGTTACATAAGGCATGCTATACGAAGAAAGTACAATATCACAAGACATTGGTTGCAAGTGGTGCCACAGACATTGTTGATCACAGAAGGACCTGGTTCTGTTATTGTCAGGTTGAGATTATCTCCGTTTGTTTCTGGTTCTGTTATGATATTCTCTTGAACATGATATTGATTTCAATACTTATATATGGGCATATCAGTGAATACCTTCAGACTGTGCTCTGATCAGTAAGAATGAACCTATTCAATGTACCCTCAGAATTTTACTTTTTTGATTTTCCTTCATCTTCCCTTATCAGGAAAGGATCTCGATGCTGTTCTTAAAGCAACACCTATACTGCCTGAGAGAGAAGCTCGGATCATTATTGTACAAATATTTCAAGGCCTTGTATACTTGAATAAAAGAACACAGAAGATTATCATTATGATCCTGAAGCCTGGAATGTTCTATTTGATGAGCTTGGTGAAAGTTACTGATTTTGGTCTGAGCAAGATAGTGGAGGATGATGTTGGATCCCAGGGAATGGAACTTACATCCCAGGGAGCTGGAACATATTGGTGAGTAATGTGAAGTCTGCCGTTTGTGATCACGTGGATGCAATTGTTGTATCCCTTGTTTGAATACAACATAATTCCACCAATTTATGGAGCTAATTTGAATACAACATTCTACAACTTATTTAGTGGACAAGTTCTCACTTTCACAATATATCTAAAACAACTTTGCGGTTTCCTAATCTAAAAGAATTACTTGTTGGTTATCTAATATGTCAAGTGCGTGTCAAAACTTTCATCTTTCAAACTTGAATTTGTTTTGTAACGTCTTATCAGAATATGTAAGATAGCAAGTAACAGATTATTCATTGCTGTGTCACCTTACTTTGCATAAGGATTTCAATCACAAATATTGTGGTGATTTATTGTGTTGATATCAGATCACCCATGCATACCATACAATGAATTCATTTCTGTTCATCAGAATTTCAGTTTTTAAGTGTTATGAGAAACATTTGGATTCTTTTATTTCATTAGGTGGTCAGTTACCTCTTGACTAATAGGATAGCATTTGATGCATGATGACAGAATTTTGATTTGGATTTAATAATGTGATGAAAATAGGGTTATTAATAATGGAAGATTATAGTAAGTTACTTTGGTTGTGAAGATATGTTGTTAGGTGATAGTTTATTTTTGTTGGGCTTATTGTTATAAGTGGAAGGAAAGGAAGAAATAAGTGATAGGTCATTTATATAGATAATATAATTTTGAAAAAGTAGAAAGTAAGTTGATAAAGGTTTTGGTTGAAATATTATAAGTTTGTTTAATGGGTAAAAGGATTTGGAGTTAGTGTAAAATTGAAATGGATGAATAAGGTTTAAATGATGAAATTGTTTATATAATTTTAATAAGTAATTCGTAAGTTAAATAATATTTTTTGATTTTTAATGAAATTGTGTGGATTATTTAGATTATTAATTATTTTTAAATGGTAATTTTATTTTTGATTGTTTAATGGTTTTGTGTGTGACATGGATGAAAAGAAAGAATGAAAAGAGAAATTTATTGATGTGATTGAGTTAGAATGTTTGATTATAGGTTAATTGTTTTAGTTTTTAAGGAAAATGTAGTTAATGTGTTTTATTCATGTTAATTTAGGTACATCTGAGAGAATGTTTGAAGTCAGAGATTTTAATATATGAAGGTAGTATGAAATGAATAAAATTCTTGAGGGAAGAGGGTAAAGGGGATTTTGTGAAAAGGAATATTTGTTTATTTCGACTGATCATGCTTTATGATGTATAAATGGTTGTATGATCAAGAATATACATTTTAATGAAAGATTTTTATAGATAATGAAATATGATTATTACATTATATTTAATTTGTTTGTCATTGATTTGCACTTGATTATTTGGGAGTCAGGTTTGGAGATGTCTGGTCAGCTGGGGTTCTATTCTACTAAATGCTCTTTGGCAGACGTCCTTTTGGGCATGACCAATCTCAAGAACGAATATTGCGTGAAGACACAATTATTAAAGCTCGCAGGGTTGAATTCCCCTCAAAGCCTTCTGTCTCAAATGAGGCAAAGGTGAGATGGACTACCTGTTTTATGATAGTTAATACTGCATGCTTTGTTCCTATTCTACTGAAGCGTACACCACGCAATTTCCTTCAGTGCTTAAGCACAAGAGAAATTATTGTTTCTGCATTAATGCACATGAGGAAAGATAGTAGACATTTTATGTGATTCAATTTATCACATCTTTTGTTGTATATTAAAAGATTTTTAGAAAGCTTAGGATAATTGTTTGGGTGCAGAATATCGTTGCTGGGTTCCTGGATGATGAGCCAAAGATGGGGAAAAATAAATTTATCATAGAAAAATGCGATATTAGCTATTTTCACCTGCTATAATATAACATATGAAAGAATTTTGATCAGCCACCCCCTGTTTCTATATCTAATCTTTCTATTCGTCCTGCAATATTATCCCAAGTTGTTTCAATATATCTTTGAATGTTAATGAAAATTTAGGAAGACTGTGTAGGTGCTTTTCTGTTTCTAATTTTTATGATTTTTAACTGATTTCCTTGCAGGATTTTATTCGTCGATGTCTAACGTATAACCAAACTGAAAGACCAGATGTTCTAACTGTTGCTCAAGATCCGTATCTTACATACTCAAAGAAGTAGTGTACAAAGACAGAGAAGCAGGCTCGCATGGGGCAGGAAGGTGGGTAGCTTCAAACTTGGAAAGCAATTTGTTGCAAGATCAACTTGGAATTTTGTATAGACTGTAAAGGTTTTCTAACTTTTTTTTTCCCTGGTTTTTCAGGCCAAGAGTTTAGTGCCCCTCTTTCTTTTGAGTAAATCTTTTTTTTTTTTTTTTTTTTTTCGAGTAAATCTTTTTTTTTTTTTTTTTTTTTTTTTTTTTTTTTTTTTTTTTTGGGTTTTTATTTATTATGTTGTAACAGGTGATTATATCTTTTGAAAAAGGAAAAGAAAATGACCTGTACAGAAAAGTTCAATTCAAATTTTCAGAAAATGGAGAAGAAAAGCTCTGTACTTTTTACATACAAGCTTCAGACACAGGCATCTAGTTTTCCTTGCTTTTAAGGAAAATGATATTATCTTTTCCATTTATGTTAGAAATACATTTGACTAATGGCTTTTCAAATGTAGCCTTACTATTTATTGCTTATGTTAGAAATACATTTGCTAAATGGCAAATTGGCTTGCGAATGTAAAAGTTAACATGGAATGGTAAATTTAGATGCTTAATAGATTTAATGTCTTGTGTCTGTTAGTAATTTTTTAAATAAATTTTTATTTTAATAAAAAAATAAAATTAAAATTATGCTCAGGGAATTGTGTTGGAGTGTAATATAATGTAACGAGATGTATTTCTTTATATTTATATGCTAGAAATATTTTCAATATTTCTTTATATTTATATGCTAGAAAATATTTTTCAATAAACAATTTACTATGATTCACCAATGTAAACAAGGGTTTTAATAAAATTCGGTTTTGATGTAAGAATTAAGAATCTATACACCCTTTTTGTTTTGCTTAAAAAGTTATTTTTTATCATTTTTTTTCATATATTTTGATTTTGTTGTAAAAAAATTAAGGGGTGCATAAAGATACTTAATTTCAATTACAAAAAAAAATAATAATATCTTTTTTCAAGTGCAGAAGTAAAAATAATAATATGAATTTGACTACATAAGAAGGCATTAGTGGAATATTTTGTATTTTGGACAATCTCTTTCCAACATCCAATCATAAAAGGAAACATTAACGCATCCTACCATGAACCATACAAATTCTATCTTCTATTCTCATGGGCATTATCTTCTCTCATCTACCTCTACAATTTCGATGCACAAAACTTCACAAATTCAATCTTGCAGATTCACCAACTCAAGTCTAGGAACCAAAACTTCAAATTTCGTACTAAATGTGAATCAAAGAATCATCACCAGAAAACATTTTAAAAAAAACTTGAGATAGGCCTCTCCTATTTGTTGTATTGAGGCTCCCAAAAATGATACCAGACCTGCAACCTTCAGTACCTTTGCCTAGGGTTAATTCTGGTTGAGTCAAGCCTGGAGATTGTTGGAAGGTGCATTTCTGACCCTTTTCTTTCTTCCCTCTCTTTTTCCATTTCATATATGATTTTTTGGTTGACATTTTTGATTTGTTTAAGTGTATGGCCCCATATGGCCATGGCCAGAATTGTGTCGAGAAAGCCCAAGGATGTGTGGGCAGTTCGTCTCAGCATTGGAACCTATCTTATAGATGGCAAATACTTCAAGCCCTTGGAGCTTCAAGAATGAAACTTGTACTGTTTTCAATTCAAAGCTTAACGTCAATGAAAGTATGCAAATTTCAATTCAATTTGAAAAATTGAATAAAATCAAAACTGTTTTTAATGGGTTTAATTCAGTTTTTTAGCCAAATCAGTTAACTTGGTGGAAATCTCTAGCTTTTATCAATCGATGTGATCTCCCTGGGAAAAAAATGTTTCTTTTACTTCAAAAAACCTATCATCTTCTTCACAATTCACAAAATGAATAAACTCAAATCATATTTCGAAGCCTCAAATCAGTAATACAATGCATAATCTGCTACAAATAGGCCTCAAAACACTCCTTGGGATGATTGGAACCTCTCTATGTAAGTGATTCTACAAATATACAAATAATAAAAAGAACGTTATAGAAATTTATAACCAATATATTCAAATGCTATCTGTTGAGTACTCGACATCAAATGTTGTCATACTATGTCATACTAAGGGTTTCATGTTGGTTCATTGGTTCAAAACTTTGTAGTTCCCATTTGGTCATGACCAGTAAGTTGAATTCACCTAACAGATGCTGAGTCCTCTTCCACTGTTTTTTAATGATGATCCATGAACTCTCATGTAATTTTACCCCCCCCCCCCCCCCCCCCCCCCTCTCAATCTGCCCAAGCTGCCTCAGCAACTTGTTTCATAGTTTGGCCTTTTCATGCCACTAACACGTAGGCAATTCTTTTTGCAAGCTCTGCAAAAACTTCAATCTCTTCCATTTCACTTTCACTGGCCTACATTAAAAGAAAGAGTTTGAGATAAGCCTCATTAATTTCTAGGACGAGAGAAAAATGTGAACGATATTGCCTATTTTTTCCAGATCTCCCGCTAGAGTTTTTGGTTTCTCGCCTGTTTAACAGCTCAACAAGAAACAAACTCCAAAGCTATAAACATCGCTCTTTTCAAGTTAGAAAAAAAAAAAAAAAATTACCTTTTTTGTTCAAAAAAAAAAATTTTAAGATACTCTGGATTAAAATATCCAATGTCCCTTGTTAATTGCTTGTAGCGCAATATCCAGATTGAACCGGAGAATTAGCAACTGAGCTCCAAGTCAGATACTTTTGCAGTGTAAGTATCCGTCTAAGAGTATATTGGATGCTTGAACATCGCCATGGATAATTGGGGGATCTGCTAAAGAATGCAAATAATCAAGTGCAAGCGCAGTCTCTGCTGCTACTCTTAGACGATTTTTCCATGTGGCTAATATTTTAGACCTGTTGTAATGGATATGCTGGGAAAGGGTTCCATGGGAAATGAATTCGTAAACTAATAAAGGAACGTTAGTCTCCAAACAAAGGCCTAATACCTTGACAACATTTCTATGGTTAACTTGTGAAACAATGCCAAGTTCTTGTTGAAATTCTTGATTTATTTGAGTTTTGTCTTTATCTTTAGGCTTCTTTACTGCAACTTGGGTGTTATCTGCTAAAACTCCTTTATAAACATATCCGAAACCTCCTTCGCCAAGAAGTAAACTTTGATCATAATTTTTAGTTTTGGTAGCCTTCACTAATTCTGCTTCTGTGAAGATTCTTAAGATTCTTACCCTTTGGTGCTTCAACAACAAGCCGCCATTTTTCAAAAAATTCCTCTCGTTTCTTCGCCTCTTGTATAGAATGATGATCAGGAAAGCGATAACCATAATGGATGCAACCCCTCCAACAACTATTTAAACAAAATGAAAGATCAGTTATTGATGGTTAAAACTTAATTAATATTAAATAAGGAAAGCAAGAGGATAATGAATTGAGATAGTACTCGCAGCCCTGCAGCAATAGTTGTAATGCGAAATCCTTGACAACCAACTTTACCATCACCGCGCATTCCAAATGGGCAACTGCATTTGTAGCTCCCAATTGTATTCTTGCAACTTCCATCGCATTTGTACTTGTCTGGTTCTTTGCACTCATCAATGTCTGTTATATAGATATGAAGTAATTAATTAGAGAAGAAATGAAAACCAATGAAAATGAAAAGTCAAAGTACAAGAAAAAATGAGGATGATTTGCTTAACTAATTATTACCTTGGCAACCTTGTGGAAGATAAGGATTTCCTGTAAATCCGTCTTTGCATATGCACCGATATCCCTTGCCATTTTCAGAGTATGTACAATTACTATTACTGCCACAAGCATATTTATTTGAATTTATTTGAATTGAGCTCGATTTGTCAGCCTTTACAATCTCCTCTCTTACTACCCATTCAAGAAACAACAACGAAGAAACAAACTGTTTTTGTTGACTGGCGAACGTGGAAGAGCAAGAGAGTTGCCCAGCTTTGAAAACCATCGAAAGTCCTTTATCAGCTAAGAAATGCGAATTCACACGGATTTAAACCGCAAACGCTGCTGTGATTACTCGACTTGCAAGATTAATTCTCCAGTGTTTTAAGACTTTGTGGCAGCCGATGTTTGACAGATCCCAAAAACTGAAGCAAAGAACCTTGTAGAGATACATTCTTATCAACACAACGAAACACAACCACTTACAAAAAGTCCTCTGCAGCAAATCTCTCAATGAAGGGCTAAAGTATCGCACCCAGCGATAGCTGTGAGCTTGTTTCGAGTATCCGAGAACCGAAACGGGCCTTTTTCCCAGTCTAATATTTTGATCAAACTTAAGGGTCAACCCTGCCTTGTTGTAGCATTTAAATGCCGAGTCAATTCGAACGGAGATCGTTCCTTCTTCTACTGATATGTTGTGAATAGGCATGTTTCGGCCAAAAAATAGACGTGGAGGATCGTAGGTTACATTGCAAGTAAACATGAAAAAGCTGTTCAGTGCGCAGTTGGGATTAGAGATTCCAGAAGTGAAGTTGATTCCAAATGGGTATGGAACATGAACAGTGCCACATGTGTCGGGACAACCAGAAATTACATCTGTAGCTGTTGTCGTTTGGGATATTAATGGCAATATCACAAACCAGAAAGCCAACATCTTTCTTGGACAGATTTCAAATACACACCCAAATACACAATCTAAAGAAACCTTAGACATGTATAATGTATTTATACAGGATGAGTTATGCAAAAGAAGATGATATTGATATCAGAGAAAAGGTCTTAGGTAAGGAAAAGAGTTGGACCCAATGTAGGCAAGTAATTTGGTGCCCAGCTTCGTACGGAAGTCCCTTTCTTGCAAGAAACAAATAGTAAGAAATTTGAAATTTCAATGTTCATTGTTGTTAAATTACTGATTAATGAGATTTAATATAATTAATTGGTATGTGGTTGGTCAAAAGCAGATGGCTTGTTTAATATATTTGGGTGAACTTGGAGGTGGTTGATTACTATAGGGTTCTGGGATTACTATAGGGTCTGGGAAGGGCAGTTGGCGCCAGCAAGAAGAAAATTTGTGCGCCAGGTTGTGCATGAAATTATAAATTATGTTGTTATTATTATTATTATTATTATTATTAATAGGAGATGGGCAAGAACGGATCAACATTAAAATTTCATGAAATCTTAATGTTACTAAGTGTAACTAGTCCATTAAATTTCGATTAAATAAGAAGGGATTTTACTGTCCCATCTCATTTTTTCGAAAATCAATGACAGCTATAAATTTTAAATTCTTAACTTTATTTTCATTCTAATTTTTTGCTTTTTTTTTTTAAGGACCTGGGAGCTTTAATTATTTTGTTTTATGTGTAAGGAGATGGGAGGTCTTATCTTAAAATAAGAATTATATATTTTGTTTTCAAAACAATATAACATTAGTTTGTAATATAATTATAATTAGGTAAGGAAATGATTATTTTAAGAATGAATTCAACTCAAACAGCGAATCCCATTTGTTCGTTGACCAATTATTTCGTTATAGTCATATAGTCTATAATTTGATAACTGTATTTCTTAAATTAAATATTAAAAACGAATCTTTGTACTTGTAATAACATGTTACCAATAATATTTATAATTGGTCAAATTGAAACATTTATATTGTCATTATTGTTAATTAATTATGTTGTCAAACTATATTAATATAAAGAAAAATATTTTGTATCACCATATATTTATATTTAGAATTTTCTAAAGTCTCCCGATAGAAGGGCCTAAATTTTAAATTCCTACCTCAGAGTTTAAATTCGTAGAGATGCAGTCCATTTGAATGTATAAATTCGTGTATTTATTTGGGTTGCACATGATCAAGATTAAATCAAGTTTATTGAGTTAAAATATCCATAATGGATAAACGAGTTAGTAATTTTTTTACTCAAACCCAATCTTTTACATACATAAATCGTGGTTTAGAAATAAAAACATGTTGGACATAACATGGATTGAATAGGAATCCCTAAATCAACAAGAATTGCATATGCAAAATCTGTACCACTCTGAAAGCATTCAACAGTTTTGACCAAATATTTTTTTATCTATTGCTTGGCATGACATTTTGAAACTATAATACTTCGTCTATTAATCAGTAGGAAGCATTGAAATCTTGCTCAGGCCATTTCATACCGGAGCTTCTGACCAAAATATCTAAAGGTATACCCCTTTGGTCTAAAAAGCCCTATAACAAGTCTTGCTCAAGAACTAATATCTTCTGTACGTCTTGTGACCAGCTCGTATAGGATCTTCTAAGTGATATTATGAGGTTTTGTGCTTAGCTGGACATGCTTATTTCACCTGCTCGATATCTCTTTAAAAATTGCATATACAACATAAATTGATATCTAAAATCTATGCCACTCCGAAAGCATTCGACAGTTTTGACCTAATATCTCTTTGTATGTTGCTTGGCACAACATTTTGAGGCTATAATATTTCGTCTATTGACCTATAGAAAGCATTGAAATCTTATTCGGACCATTTCATGCTGGAGATTTCAGTGAAAAATCCAAAGGTATACCCCTTTGGTTTAAGAAGCCCTGTAACTAGTCCTATTCTGGAGCCGATATCTTCTACATGTCTGACAAGCAGCTCATATAGGGTCTTTTAGGTGTTAATATGGGTCTTGAGGAAGGTGGACATGCTTTTCTTGCCTGCTCGAGCCTCATTAAGAATTGCATAAGCAATATAAATTCATTCCCTGTAACATCCTAGTGCGTTGAGTTGAGTCATATCATAGAGGAAGGGTGAGTTGGGTTGAACCAAACCCGGTTCGGGTAGCATGAGATGATAAGTGGACTTATTCATAAGGGAAGGGTGAGTTGGGTTTGAACCAAACCCGGTCGGGTAGCATGAGAATGAAATGGGGACTTATTTGCATGGAAAGTTTAGGACTTGTTTGGCCTCCAAACATACTTAGCTTGGGTAGTAAGTTGTTGTCTTTGTCACCACTTGAGGTACCAAGTAGATATGTTACACAGCCAAGTCATTGCTTCTAGAGACCCTACCCGTTCTTATCAATCACTTTCCATTTTCATAATTCTCTTCTTACTTTCCCTCCCGTTTCCTTGCAAAGTTTCATGCACTGTTAGCACTAAGTCAACCTCCAGTAAGTAGAAATTCCTTGAAGTTTATATGTTTTATCCACTCTTTTAATTGAGTTATATGTGGAGATGAGTTTATGAGAATTCTTGTGTATAGGGAGAAGAAGTTTCAAAGGTAAGCAGAAAAAGAGAAGTTAAAACAGGCCCCACTTTGTGGCAAGACAGGTTTGATATCTCTTGTTATATCCCATGTTCTTTGCATGAAAAATTGTGTGGAGTGTTGCTCAATGAGATTGATATGTTGCTTGTTGTTGGGTGGAAGTACTGGAAATGATGTGAAAACAGGGATGAATATATGAAACGGAAACAGAGTTTGCTGAAATTGTTACCAGCAACTTCATCTTGAATTTTGGAAAGCTCCATATAATGATGGAATTAGGAATTTGTCATAGAAGAGTTTTTGTTCCTTTCTGTGTTTAAGCTTTTACATGGGCCTTTTTGAAATCATTCACTTTGGAAAGTTGTATATTGAGAGTTATGGCCAAAGAACACCCACAGACTGCAAAATCTGGAATCACGTGCCGCGCTCGCGCTACTGGAAAACAAGTTCGCGCTCGCGATTTCCCCATTGCGGCGCTCGCGCCTTGAGTTCAGGTAGCTCTCTGACTCTCAAATGGCACAACTCGCCGCCTCGCGACTTTCACATGCGCGGTCGCGAGTTTGGCCAGAAGCTCTCTGACTCTCAATGTGCGCATCTCGCGCTCGCGAAATCACACACAACGCGCTCGCGACTTTCATCTCGCGTCTCGCGACTTGTTGCTGCGCGGTCGCGACTTGAGCCAGAAACCTCTCCTGACTTCTCGATTGCCTTCTCGCGCCTCGCGAGGTTTGGAATACGCGCTTCGTCGCGACTTGAGCCAGAAACCTCTCTGACTCTCGATTTCACTTCTCGCGCTCGCGAGGTTTGAAGACGCGCTCGCGACTTCTCCCTGGGAAGCATTTCGCGCTCGCGACTTGTTCCTGCGCGCTCGCGACTTATGTTTTCATGCATTTTGGACTTCTTTTTCTATGTAATTACATTTCTTTGCTCAACATATATGCATCCAATCCTTCTACAACAAAACTATAATATAAGAACATGGATTAAAACAACATGTAAGCATTCATATGATGTGAAATTAAATCAACATGATGAACTATGAAGTTATGCAACCATTTATGAATGCAATCATGCAAATGATGTGAAACTAACCTAACACAAGTTGCCCGCTTTGTGAGGCTATCAGCATACAGGTAAACAGTATGGTTTATGAATTTATGAAGCAATTAATATGTTTTTATTTTATACTATTGACATACCGCTAATATGCTCCATTAAGGTTAGGTAGAAACTAGATAGATAAGGCTATGTCGCGACATAGGATAGCAGATCTGCGCCTCATACAGTTTGGTACTCCGGCTACAGGTCGTTGAGTGGATATGATTATATATGGTGTGCTTAGAATTCTAATCCTTGTTTAGAATTTCTAAAATTTATTTCAGTTTTTAGAAAACCCAATTCACTCCCCTCTTGGGTTGTGCCATATATATTCGGGACCCACATTTTTCTTATCACTTCGGTTTCACTATAACCTTATGGAGCCATTCAGATATCTTGACATAACATTTCATGAATCATACAGTATTATAACCAGTACGAAAGATAATCAAGGTATAATGAAAGGATCATGCTATATGTGCTTATATGTTTAATTATCCATATGCATTTACATGCTTATTTCTATCCATGTATGTGCTTTTGTGTTTTAATTGTTTTCTTTATTTGTTTGAGATATCCACTGAGCATTAATGTTGCTCAGCGGAGTTACCTGTTTAAACTCGCAGGTTTAAGACTGTCATAGAGAGTCGGGTACAACTGCTGAAGTTCATTCTGTAGAAGACTGGTCTTCAGGGTAGAACTCATTTTGTTTTTCTTTTTTATGGTTCATGTACAGGGCACACAGTTTTGGGCCCATTTCATTTTGTAAACTTGTATCCATGTTTTTTGTAAATATAATTTACTTATTTTTTGGAAACAGTACCAGCATGTTATATATTCAAACAATACAAGTATGTTTTTCAGCATTGTCAGACCATACAGTAAACGCAGATTTGTAGCATTCGACTCGGTTCATCGGGTTTTACGGGTGAACCGGGAAGCGGGTGGTTACAAATTTTGGTAATAGAGCCCTGGGTCTTAATTTTCCCGGGCTTGCATGGCATAATCAGTAGTAATGGTTACATGCATGACTACCCTTGATGAACTAACGAGTTGTTTATTATTTTTAGGAGATGTCTCAGAAGGTGAAAGTGAGGTCACACGACTCCAGAGCAGTGGAGGGTGAGGCTCCAGCAGCACCAGGTAAGCTAAGAACAGTGGAGGGTGAGGCTTCATAACGGGTGGACCGGGAAGGGGTGTTACAGTAGCACTTTATCTCGAGACTGTAGGGGGCGAGAAGAAGAGGAAGGTATATGGCATCTGGTCTCAGGCATCACAGTTTTACTGCGGCTCAGCATCTCACGCTTTTGCAGCCAGCGCAGTACCACAGCCCGAGCATAGTGCCGAAGAGTTTGCTGCATT